TTTTTTTTTTGTATTTTATTTGTCTCCTTAAATTGCAATATGTAGTTTCTTTTTCTTTTTATTAAAAAGGTAGTACTGAATCTATGATATCTATCTGTGTAAAAGCAACCTGGTGCTGTGAAAAAAATATTTGAATTTCAGTTACAATAAAATAATTGTAACTTTTGTATATCAATCAAGTACAATATAAACTTATAGTTACTTTTGGCAAAAGTTGGACCTCGAGCTGTATATACACAATGCATTCATTTATTTCAAATATTTGAATTTGAATTGTAACAAACATTCAAATTGATTTTAGATTGATAAGAGGATGATCATGTTTGTTAGTATTGCAAAATTTTTTTTTTGTAAAGAATGAGACAAGAAGGTTGTAAATTTTTGTATTTTAATTTACTTATTTTTATCATATTCATCGTATTTTTGTATTTATTATCGGCAATGTTTATTATTAAATTTTTGGAGACGGCCCTGACCCCAAACAAACCCAAGTTTACCAACACCGCATGCATCGAGTAACAAAAATGCATATTTGGACGTCTACACTATACACTCAGTTGATTTGGACAACAAGAGCTTGGTGACATACAATGTCTGAAAAGTCAAAATGTTGACAAGTAGTGCCCAAAGTAATGTTCATAGAATACATGGCATAATTGTTTTAATATCACAAATACAATAAAATATTCAAAAAAAAAAAAACTATTATCTTAGAGTAAATCATGCTTGTGTCATACTTAATTTGTTGACTCTGTACTCCTAAAACATGCAAAAAAATAATAATAATAATAATAATAATTATAATAAATGATATACACAATAATACATCTTAATTAATCCATATAATGTCACCGCCTGCATATTTAAAATACACAAAAATATCAAAATATTACCGCGCTTCTTACTTAAAATTCGACCAGTTAATCAAATTCGAAGCGCTAATTTAATCATATCCAACAATTAATATTTTATTTTTATTTCTTTCACTATATTTCATATATCATCAATTAGCGCTTTTTTATTTTGAAGGGTCAATTATATTACTAATAAAAATATTATAATATTCTACACAAGTCCCTATAATTGTAAGAGTCTTAATTTAAGCTTTTATTTTATTTGCCCATTACTTCAAGCATGCATATTCAAATGTATAATTTTTAAAAGATATTTTGACTAATCATTTTTAATTTTGTAAAAAGCAAGAAAAGCTTGGAACTCCATTGTCAATGTTATACCAAACTTGTGTGACAGTATTTGCAGCACGTATATTATTTTAGCATTAAACTATTAACAAAAAATTCAAAAGTGACAACATTATTCAACATTTATGGAAACCCTTTTAGACTAATTATTTCTGTTTATTAATAAATTTATTTTAATCCGATGTGGGACTGTTTATATTTTCCACGCAAAGTGCAAAAGGACAATGTCATTAGTCATTTTCAATCATTTAAAGGCCGTATTTAACTGAAGAAAAATGCATCCAAAATTGAACTGATCGAATATTATAATAACACACACGTAATTTCGAATTTTTTTTTTCTTCAATTTATTACATGGGAAAGAGAAATTAGCGAGATATATAGCTAGTACTCCAATTTGAACAATTGTATGACATAAAAATAAAATTAATCACTCAAATTTTAAGTTAAATCCAAAAAACGTATGCAGAAAAAATTTCTTCAAAATATGTTTTTGTTATTCGAACCGACTTGTCCTCTAACATAGTTCGATTCGATTTGTAAAAGTTCGAGCATGACTTGCTTGTATATTTAAACGAGCCAAAGTCGAATAACTAATGGAGGTTGTCTATCGTACATGTTGAGTCGAGCGTGTTCGCGAATAATTCAGTTAGAGTTTTAGGTTTTGGTCTAGGTTGTAGGGTTTATAAAATCACTTGAACTGAGTTTATACGAATCAAACTCAAGCTTAATTTTTTTTTTTTTTTTTTTGCTTATTAAATGAGCTAAGCCATTTGATTATTAAATTAGCACGAGTTCGAACTTGAAATAGATAATTCGAAAAATCTAGCTAGACAGATGTATAAAGAAGTCAAAGTATGAAAATAATTTTTAAATTTAATATGAATTACATAAATTACACAATAAATAATATTATAAAGTCAATGTTGCATTATAACATAAAAATTAATATATTTTTTGAGTAGTCGTGTTTTATATGGAGAGGACACCCGTTTAGCAAAAACTTCTGAATTTTTAACTACTCTATCATGACAAATATTTATTTTTGATTGTTTCATTAGTTTATTTACAAAAATGTGCAAAGACAATTTTTATCATGTACTTGAATTTTAATTAAAAAAACAACATAACTTATTTAAATAAATACTATATTAAACTGTAACAGCCTCGTCATTTTTGTTACATGTTATGTCATTTAAAGTATGTATGTCATTCGTTGAGTTTGTCAAATAAAAATGAGATTTAGCAGTAAATTTTCGTATAATCAATTATCATTTAATTAAAAATTAAGTAAATATATAAACTTGATTATGATGTCTATAAAATCAGTTACACACTAAATATTCTATCGTGATTTTAGCACAATCAAATATTGTCTTGATCAATAAAATTATTCAAATAAAATCTGATTAGTCAAATAATCAAAAATAAACACAAAAATGACATAAAAGGGGCATAATAATCTAAACGGAAAAGTGGAAAGAAAATTAAATCGTGTTCAAGTATATATATAATTCATTGATTTAATGTACGACAAATTGAACTTAGTCTGTCAAGATAATATTGATACAAGGCTAATCTAATATAACATGGTCTAACATATTTTTAACAATACAAAATTAACAAAGTCAGAAAATTAAGACCGGGTCGGATCCCACCCAGCCTTTAGGGTGGCTGGGCCCCCTGTTAAATCCAAAATTGAAATATTTGATTTTTTTTTTTTTTTTGTTACATAGTAATGAGTTTTATCAGTTCATGCCCTAAAATATGAGTTAACTATCGATTCAGAGCCTAAAAATTAAATTTATGGATTAATAATTTGTAGTATATAAATGATTATCAATTTAACACCTTGTTTGGTTGTCAAGAAAATAAATTACAACATCTTAATATAAATAAAAACTGAAAAGGGGTGAAAAATCTCAACCAATTTATACATGTTATTAAAATATAAAAGTTTATAGAGGAGAAATATCTGAATATAAATAACATATAAGAAAGAGATTCTGTGTTGTCAGATTTACAGGGTTTCATATCAATATATTTCATCTTTCAAGTTTTGAATCTATAGTTGATTCATCATGAAAACAAAAAATTTAAAATTAATAATTTTATATCTTCCAAATCTTGAATATATATATTTAATTTAATTTATAGATCCCGAATCCACAATACACCGGTCTATGAGCCCAAATTAGTAAAGTCCAATATAAACATGAATTTTGAGGCAGTGGATAAGATATTTGGACTCGGATTGAGTGAATAGTCGGTGAAGAA